CGGCACGGCACGGCCCGTTTGACACCACTAGCTCCAGGTATGTCTTCATGTCTTTATATGTGTTACAGTTTGTGTGAAAGATCTTGTTTGTGTATTAAGGAAATCTTACACAAACGAATCAAGGAATCTTCTATTCCTGCTACGGAGAAAATGTACTGCGCATTTCTAAGGTGTTCTGCATTGATGTCCAAAAAGGAAGTCTTGCAACATACCAAAAGTTCTTTTGCGATTGTGGGAGGCAGGAAGTGCATGAAATGGCATCAGTTATTTGTATCAATTGCAATCCTTGGCAGTATGACATGAACTGATTACCAAAGATCAGAAACCTATTCCCTCGCAGAAGGGCAATTGCTAAAGTCGCTTGCGATGAAGAAACTATGGCGCCAGTGTTCCGAGTGCAAACATATGGTTGAACTTGATAGTGGCTGCTACCACATCACTTGCAGGTGCTTTACTCTCCTCCCACTTCAATTTGATTAATCTTTTGGTTTCTTCTGTTCTGCTTTAGGGAAGAATGAATAAGAAAATGGCAATTAAAATAGACACTAATGAAAACAAGATGATTGGGTGAAGTACCTATGATTTCTTGTGTGAGAATAGTGATCTTGTGTCACCATTCAGCCATCAGAAGAGGAAAAAGGTTCTTCCAGTCACTCATCTCAATCCTTTCAATAGAGTCTCCAATAAACCCAATAACATACCCAAAATTCGCAATTTGTTAAGTTTTCTCTCGATTGGTTTATGTCAACCCTAGGCAAGAGAACACTGACATTGTAAGTTAAATTGCCTATTTAAATTCAAAAGTAGTTGTAGGAATCCCTCAAGTTGTGAGAAACCCCCATCCCTTGTAATTTAATCTATCGTTTGTATTAAAAAATGAATACCTCAAGTAGGAAACACATTAAGCAAGGTAGGTTTAACCGAATCACCTTAGAAGCAAGGTACATAAGATTCCACTGTTACATAACATTGCTTGCTTCTTTGGTTTCACTCTTTTTTTCTCTTACCAGTAAATTTAAGAAAAGGTTTCACCCTGTTCTTTTTTTTTTTTTTTCTGGACGCTAGTACATTTTCATGACTCTGTATTACTACTCCTTATTGTTTGTCTCATGTCTGCATTGTCTTTGTAGATGTGGACATCAGTTTTGCTATACTTGCGGATCTGAATGGAAGAACAAGAAAGCAACATGTGACTGCCCACTTTGGGATGAGCATTACATAATAAGCTTAGACAGCTACATGCTCCTGCCAATTGCAACCTGTAATTTCATCACTTACAGAATTATCACTAATTGTATGATGTTCCTAGAACTTCTAGGGTGTGCTACTTTTATGAGGTTCTTATTTTGTAATTGTTCTATTAGACTGACTTCTGTGGGAACCATCAAAGTTCCAAATGAAAATGTTTTCTTTCAAGGTTTAACTTGCAGCTGCTATTGTCTTACAAACTAGTATGATGAACACTGGGTTCCCGGGATCAAAGAGAATAAATAATATGTGGATTTCTATCCAACTGAGGATAGTGTCTTTGTGGAAGTCGTGTTTTGTTTTCTTTTTCATTTATCTACTTTTTCTAGTGAACTTCCTTTTTAATTTATTGATACCCTCAAATGACATGTCTCGAGAAATACTTAGTATCGGAGTGTATTTGGAAGTCCCTCGCGATACTCTCAACCAAGATGGGATCTGCTGGGTTGTGGTTTTCAGCTTAGGCAACAATATCACAGGGGTTAAAAAAAATTGAATGTGAGTGGTTGATGTAGAATCTGACCACATGAAATGAAAGGAATAGAAATGAACTAGAAAACAGAGTTCACATGGCTAATACAATTGTGCTACATATTATATTGGGCACGAACCACTGTATTACTTGTCAATTGTACATCTCTGTAAAGGAGGCAAACTGCGGCATTAAGTTGAATGAATCTGGGACGATGAACCTGAACCGAAAGTGTATGATAATGTATTCAGAAATCATTCATACGCAACTTTGGAAACGTTCACACTTTTTCTTCTTCTTGTTAATAATTTTTCTTCTTCTTGTTAATAATCTCTCAGCCTATATTAAGGTGAGATGAAACGATGAAAAATCGAAAAAGTTGTTAATAATCTCTCAGCCTATATTTAGTATTGTAGGTTTTGTAAGGCATTGCAAACATGTTTGAGTTCCCACATTGGAACACTAAAGTTCCTTGGAATTCTTTATAAGACTTACTCTTGGAAATAGAATAGTTTGTATTGGCTATGCAAGTGGCCCAATTGAGTGGTTTGTGGGTATGACCATTGATTAAATGCCTAATTGGTTGGGTCAATAGTTAATTAATATATTTAATTAATCAAAAGATGGGCCTTGTGGCTCTTGGGCTCTATGATTTAAATTAAAATAGTAGTTATTCATTACCCAAGTCTCTATTGTCCCCTTTTAATTTTTTACTTTTCCAGAGTTATTGCCCGTATAAAGAATTTAGCACTTTCACGTTTAATACTCTATTATACATGTACGTATGTATTTTTGAATAATATATTCGTGTTCTATACATGTGTCACGTTTTTTAAAAAGGAAATGTGGATTAGTCGTATTGTACATGTATATACGTATTTCTATATTTAATACATGTATTTTTTACAAAATTTGCAATAAGACACACAAAATTCACGTATTATACAAATAATTCTCACATACAATTGAATAAGAATAATATATGTTATAAAAATTATATTACAATATTATATAGTGGCCGATTAATATCTACTTTGGATATGTTGAAACTAGCAACTTAATATGTATAAAGTACAAACTAATGCAATTAGGAGGGTCCTTTTTTCTTTATTTTTTTAAAATTAAATAGTATAGCCGAGCGGCTATACTACGATTTTTTTATATAAAAAATAATAATTTATATGCCTAGTCGTACTATTTGTGTTATATCTGAAATGTTGATGAATGTTCACATCTATCACTCTAATTGTTGCTAACACAGGAGATGCCTAGATTGACGGGCCCTTCTAAGTGCCTAGGTTGTCACATAGTTATCTTCTAAGCTTGCAGGGATTTGAATATTATATATGTTGTGCATCAGTGTTATGCTTATATGTTATGTCTATGACTGGTTATTGACTAGTCATATTGTCTCCATGTTTATTTGATCATTATTGTCATACATCTGTCCATTGGGATTTTAATTTACCCCCTTTACATAAGTACCAATTAGAGAGAGAGAGAGAGAGAGAGAGAGAGAGAGGAGAGAGTGAGTGATGGAGACAAGATAGACAAAGAGCTCGAGTGGTTGGCATGTGTGTTTTTTTTAAATTTTGTCGTGCATAACTTGCGCGTTGGCATGCCCAAGCCCAACAAAAGCCAAAAGTTTTTATTTTTTTTAAAATTATTTGTACTATATATTATTTTTTTAATACCACCGGTCCGTTTGGTTAAACAAGTGGTTTTAAATATTGCAAACTGTACACCGAACCATATACCCAAAATTCCAAAATCTTGTTACATAGAGAAATAAAAAAATAAGACTGTCCACACTGCAAACAATTGTCATCAGAAGTCCAAAATTGCAGTCATTAGGAATAGCCATGAACACAGGCCAACCCTCATGTGGTGGCTGAGGCAAAATTACACAACAGGAATAATATCATTTACTTTCTCTTCTAACGTATTTAAAGAGTCTACAAAGCATATACTGTTCCATTGTTCCTAGGCCCAAGCAGTTTGGTTTGGTTCACCTCTAAACCATAAAGTGATGTCCAAAGATTTACCACAATTGGGAACTGGCTGTCTAGTTGATGGCTATGCTCAGTGTGGTGAAGAAGGATAGAGAGTGGGCTTTGTCTCTTATGAGATTTTTGCTTTGGGAAAGGCTCGTTGCTCCTTTGTGTTCAATGGTTAATTATGTGATTGATCCCCACCGTGTAATCCAAAATGGGGTGTCAGCTGCTATGAAGTATACCCAGGCTAATTCTCCTATATTTGATCGGGAAGCGGTGGCTTTGGTTGATGAGGGAGAGGCTTCTTCTTGGCAACCCCAAAAACCTGGCTACTTAAAACTTAATAAAGATGGGGCCTGGATGAAAGAGAGAAAAAGGCTGGCCTTGGTGCGATGATAAGAAATGAGATGGGCATTCTATGCGGTGAGGTGAGTGCTCCTACATCTGTGGTTTGCAACTTGCTAGTCAGCTCTATACATAGGTGTCGATCGAAGGGTGACACTATGAGCTTTAACAGGGTAGTTTAACATAGCTCATGCATGAGGTGAGTCCCTCTAGAATATACCAACAACAAAATCGATTGAACAAGTTTGACGTTTGAATGCTGGTTGTTATAAAACATAACTATTAATTCATATTTCTACATTTCAGTGCACTTTTTCTGCAAGTATTTGTACACTTGTCTGTACATGTTGTTTATGCAATTTTGTATTGAAGTGTTTATGCACATTCTATGCAAGTGTTTACAGTTTTTATGTAAGTTTGATAAGGTAAATGTGGAATAGGTTGACGGTTGCCGCGGCCAGCAAATGTTGAATTAGTTGCGAGAGGAAATTGGGATTCGGTGCAAGTGAGATCAAATTGGATGGTATATTGCACAAGAAGAAATATGGTAGATGTAAATATAATTACAGAGAAAAAAAAGTCTCTCATGGTGGCCGATCACAATGGCTGGATTTCTTTTGGAAAAATAAATTATCATCTTGTTTAGAAAGAAAGCTAAAGTTTATGTGGCGTAAGGAGTATTGTATTGAAATTAAAACATATATAAGCTAAAGTCTATGTATAATTTGTACACATGAAATTAATTATGCAAGCAACATTAGTTTTCTTTTGAAGAAAAGTATTGTCCTGATAGCCGACTTGACGTTTTCTCAAATAAGCACCTGATCGAGCATTTTCTTTTGAATTTTTAATAGGATCTATATCTTGTTCTAAATTCATTTCAACTTAAAACAAACTAGATGCCTTAAGCAGCAAATATTTCTGTCAAGGCTCAACATCTATTTATTTTAGTTTTTATTTTTATTTATAACGTTTATATTTAGAAGAAATTACATTTATAATTTAGCCGTAAAGGGCACTGATCACAAGGACTAATACAAACACATGAAGGATACATCAACAACATCTAGACAATAAGGTATCCCTCCAACCATATCCACAACCGGCCAAAGCACCTCCACCGCATAAAGTCAACAAACTTGGATAAACGAGGCACATCAACAACATAAATTAAAATTAAAACTAAACCCTCACAAAGAAAGACAACTAACTCATAATGAGTTGTTGCAACTTATTCCAACTCAGAAAAAGTCAAACAAAAAGTTAAAACATGAAAAACAACTCGCACAACCACTATGGAGGAGCCATTGTACTTTATCCATCCTTGGGATTCAAATTTGATACACAAATTTGGTAGCCCTACCATTATTGTTCCCACATCTTCGGATTTTCTTCTTACTAATTGAGGATCTCTTGAGAAAACTTTTGAACCAGTGCGTCGATAGTTTTGAGTGTCTTTCCAGTCCATTGTCGTAATCAATATAGTTAATACCAAATCGAACAGTATATCCTTCGCTCCATTCAAAGTTGTCTAGCAAAGACCATGCAAAGTATCCCTGCACATTAGCACCCTCCCTACAAACACCCCAAAAAAAGAAGAACATAATTGGTTCAATGTAGTGATTAAATAACCGAAATGTAGGAAGGCCAAAACATATATAGCCTTAATTAATTTGTTGACAAAAACTTACTTAATTGCTGCTTGGAGGTAACAGAGGTGGCGATAGTAGTAGTCAATTCTATTAGCATCATCAAGTGCTTGCTCAAGTGATAATTTGGGATTATTGAACTCATCCATGCCTGCAATATAAATCGGTATCAAATGCATACAATTTGTTTAACCAAAGAAAAAATGTACATTTAGTTTTAAGTTTAGAGATTACAACACTTCACTTTATTTTACACCATTATACATATATGTTAAACATTGATGATGCAATTAATTAATGTTTAAAAATATTAATTACCATTCTCAGTAATGTACATAATTGGATCATTATACTTTTCCTTTGTGTAGAGTACAAGATCGTAAAGTCCTTTTGGGTAAACATATAACCAGTCTGAAGCAGCCTGCAACCCATTTGAAGATCAGCAAGACTATTAGGACTTTATGTGTACGTGGAAGACAAAATATATGCATAGGTATTAATTCTCAAAATCCCAATAACTTAAGCTAATAATTTATTGCGTACCCGTGGACCAATGGGGACCCCATTAAGATCAGCTGCTACAACATAAATAAATATGAACATTAGGATCTAATTATTAGGAGAACGACATTAATTTCTTGAAATTTTCAATTTGTACTCACTTGTAACATTAACATGAACATCTGTTAGGTAGCTTGGAGGTGTAGGTACAGAATAATCCTTAGGATAAGCTCTTGCATATCTAGCAGAGTAGTAGTTTACTCCAATATAGTCATATGACCCACTCAGTGACTTGGATTGTTCTTCCGTAAAATTCGGTAACCGTACACCAAGAATAGATCGCATGGTCTGCGGGTAGTCACCTCTTGTCAATGGGTCCATAAACCTATGAAAATTCCAAACGTGAACTTATAACATTATATAAAGCACCACGGGCTACCTAACTGAAGTTATAATTCAAAAATAAAGCATTTAAATGAGTTGATATATAAATTAATAATACACTTACCATCCATACATAAAATCCAAAGCTTGAAATGCAGCGTCTTTATCTTGTTGTGACTCCGAAGCGGGCTCAAACCAATGTGATACAACTGTTATTCCTATGACACCATTTTGACATGCCTGCTCCAGAATGATAAGTAATTGTTTTTTATTTTTTTCATTTAGAGCAAAAAAATAAAATAAAAATATTATTACAACCATTGTTTATCTGAATGTAAAAAGTATTCCCACTTATATTGTTACATAATACTAGTAACTAATTGGACCCCCATGTTCTGAAAGAAAAAAAAAGACTAATGAAATTACCTGATATTTTTCCCTGTACAATTTTACAGCAGCTGCATGAGCAAGGAGTAGATTGTGTGTCACCAAATATGGTTCAGTACCCGAATCTCCACCAAGGCAGTTTGGGTTATACCAATCAGAGCATCGTCCTGGTGCATGGATCCCGATTGTGTAACCATGGTTACTAATGGTATATGGCTCATTAAGTGTGGTCCAATGCTTTACTCGATCGCCAAATTCCTTATAACAAAGATCTGCGTATGCTTTAAAGTCATCGCTGCGTGTACACATTTTAAAATGTATTTATTGTATATAATAGTATTTATATAATTAAGTGATCAATATTATACAAAGGATGGAATTGTCCACTTACACAATATGAGGGCTTAACAAACCACCATATTCGTCTTCTAAGGCTTGGGGAACATCCCAGTGGAAGAGTGTCACTAATGGCTCTATACCTATATATAGCATGACAAGTAAAGGAAAATTAAAAGTTTGATTAATCAACTGCAGGTACTGTTATATTAGGAGGATTTTATGAGATTGGGAGCTGTATCACCATTGCGTAGGAGTTCATTGGTGAGATTATTGTAGTATTCGATTCCTTTCTTGTTAATTCCACCACTTAGTTTTCCATCTAATAATAATTAAAACAAAACAAGAAAAATATAAGCCAATACCTATCATGAAATAGGAATTAAATTGAATAAAAGATGTTAAACGTTAAAGCGATTGGATGCGGATGATCAACTTACTTGGTAACAATCTGGACCATGAGATAGAGAACCTATAAGCATCCAACCCCATATCCTTCATAATTGCCACATCTTCCTATAATGACACAAAAGATGTACATAATTATAAATAAATAAAAAGCTAAAAATTAAGTATATCATCTTTAATGTTGTGTTCAAATTCAATACAATTATGTGATTTTCAAACCTTATAACGGTGATATTGATCAATAGCAACATCTCCATTGCTACCATCAGTTATCTTTTCTGCAATTAATCAAATGTAATTTTAGTTATAAATAAAGATACAGAGTAATTTAGCTATCTAGATATTTAAATAGGGGAATGCTAGCAACCTTCGCCCTAACCATCTTGCTTGGAACTTCTCACTTCTTCTCATGCGATGTATTATTCCTCTTAATTACATTTTTGAATGATACATTAATACATTAAAAATTCGAGTTTTATTTTCCATGATTACCCTTATTCCATTTTTTACAACTTTCTAACTATCTTCTTTGATCTAGGGGAGTTGTCAGATCTTTGCTGGGTAAGGTCATAGATTCTACGCAGTTCCCACTGAGCACTTTGTAAGTGAAGAATAACTAAAAATGAAGTAACTGAGCATCAATTTAGTCACCTAAAAAAAATAGAAAATAGAAGATTTGTTAACTAATTGATTGTTTGATTCAACAGACCTGGATGCTCATGGGTGAAGTTATCCCATACGCTTGGTCCTCTACCGTCTATGTTTGCAGCACCTTCTAACTGAAATGCACACACAGATATATATATATAAAACACGATTTACAATATTCATAAATGAGACATGCTCCCAGAATGCACTGACTTGGTAAGCTGCTGTAGCTGCGCCAAATGTGAACCCTGGAATAAGAGTATCGAAATGGGTCCTGTTGAGAGTTGCACAAACAATGGGTGGATCTGTCCTGGCAGCATTGGTATTTGCCAATGCAAAGCCAAGGAGAAGCAGCACCACACACAAGAGCAAAGAGCGGAATTGCAATGCCATAACTGAGTGGAGGGTTTTTGATGATCGAGCTAGGTGTGCTCTTCCTGCTATATTGCATGGGGTTTATATAGAGGGAGTACGTAACTTCTACACGTGAAAATAATAATTCAAAAGCATTTTTATTTCTTTTTTGCTTTCTTTTTTGTAAAGCCAAGCGGGCTTTAAAGCTAAAGTCGGGGACAGACACTGAAAAGTTGGGACCTTCCTTTTTTTCCCTTTCTCTATACTAGTGTATAGAAAAGCAATCCAAAGATTCCACTGGGTCCACCTTCAGAGTCTGGTTTTGCTCCCGTGCCCTAACCTCTGGTTTTGGAAAGATAATCTAATTGCACCCTTCTCCATTAATGTTTTCTATCCTATCTCCATCAATTGGCGTTAATTGCTCAAAACAAATTTCTCTCTCATGGAAACTCTTGCTCATCTTTATGGGCGAACTCTTCCTCATTGGTTCCTTAGTATTTCTCTCTCAAAAAAAAGAAACTATTTATCTCTCATTGTTAATTGATCTTCCATGCAAAATAGACCTAAGATTGTTGAGACTGATTCTGATATGGAAAGAAAAGAGATTGTGGAAAATAATGATAAAGGAAGAAGAAGAAGAAGAAGAAGGGAAGTTGCTGGTTCGATGTTAGATTCTTTAGGGAATAATCAAGTATTGTTATATATTATTGTTCTTCTTCTAAGTGTGAGGAAATTGGTAATCATCTTTGTAAATGAACTTGTAAATCAACACAAGTACGCAATAGTCTAAAGAAAGATTTAAGATTGTGGACTAAAAAGATATATACATCAAGGTATTAAGTTTTTTCTGAATTGGACACCCATGTTTTTTTTGTTCTTTGTCCAACAGCCATTACTTATAGTGCACCTTCTATAAAGATTTCATATATAATAAAATACGACGTTGCCTTTCTATTTAACTCTCAGGATTATGTGAATGGTCTTGGCATTATTCTCCGTTGTTTTGTTATACCATGTGATTATGTCGTTCCATTCCAATATCTGTCCAACTTAAGCAGGTGTTTGGAAATTACAAGTGACTTAGTTGATATTGTGTTACATATTTTCCATGAAAAGAAAGAAAATAACTTCGTTCATAAGCAGTAAGCTGTAGGAGAAATACAATTGAGAGGAAATACTTTTTTATATATTTTTTATACTGCATATGTGGGTTAGGCTACTTTTCATGATATTGAGCATGCCCCAGTTGCGCTCAACTTCAAATCTCCATAAGTGTAGTTCGAACTTAGGCGCAACAAGATGGGCACTTCAATCTTGGGGGAGGAAAATCGATCTCGAGTGCCATAATGTGGGCACATTACCTTGGCCAACTAACCCAACTCACATTTGCAAAAAACAAAAATTGTAAGGAAAGAAATAATTGATAGAAGAAATAATTTTTAATGAATACATAAATTTCTCTCATAATTGTGGCATGAAAAACATATTAACTGCAAACTATTAACCACATGGTTACTTTAATTTACATAGGGTTAATTTCAGTTTGGTACCTTAATAGTACAACTACGAGGTACCAAACTAAAATTAACCCATTTACATATGCCAAACTTTGAAAGGGGTGGTAAGGCTTAAGGGTGGTCAGAAAAATGCACTGAAAAAAAGGACATGGCATAATATTTACTCTCAACACGTCCTCTCACCTTTTAAGTGACTTGAACTACTTTCACTCTTGAATAATGTGCAAGTGCCAAAAAAGAGAGGCTAATCTGCAAGTAATAGAAGTGGAAAAGAAAGTAGCTTTAAACCCCACGGCCAGACACACCCGCACCCGCCTACTGCCCCACCTATTCACCCAACCCCAAAGCCCAACAAAGAGAGAGAAGGTGGATTCCGCTTTGTGATCACATTCACAGCACTTTTATTGCATCTCTGCTTGACTTGAAACCTAGAAGAGGAGGGGGGGCGCACTGCTTAAGAAGTTAGAGGTGGCTGCGCTCTGTTGTTACATGTGCTTCAAATATTTAATGTTTTAGGTCTGTAAGAGTGGTTATAGTATTTATCGCTTACTATTATTGATGAAATAAAAAAAGAAAAAGGGATTACTTTTTAGATACCTTATCAAAATTCGGGTAAGGTGTCAATCTCTAAGGGCCGACGTATGACAATCTGAAGATGAAAATGTTCCACATTGGAAAGTTAATGAACCTA